AACAGTTTTTTCATCAAGGTCTTCATCTTCTTGGATGGTGATGAACTGGAAGTCTCCCCTAACGGTTCCATATTTTCTTTGGCTACTTTTCCCCTCCTCCAATCATCTCTCTTTCTATCTCGTTGCTCCTTTTTGTCCCGAACCTGGTACTCCCACATTTCATTGAACCCTTGGATAAAAGGTTCGTTACATCTCAGTTCTCTTTTTAATTAAAAAATTTCCTGGTCCCTAGCAGATAATTTCTTCTCTAGTCTAACGATGTATTCCGCCAAATTGTTCATCTCTCTCTTATGCTTTGTCTTTAATTTTTCAATGTGCTCATTGTTCTCCTCTGTCTAGGATGCTGTAGATTCTATAATAGTTTCATTATAAACTGTATAATCTTCGTTGATTTCCAATAAAACTGGAACAATATTTGGTTCGGGATATAAATACTTTTCATTTTTTAATGTCAAGTCACAGTTTCGGTTTCCCCATGTAACATTTTAGGATTCTGTTGATATTTGTAAATAATTTTTGGTATGCGAGTTTTCTTTTTCTAACAGTATGTGTTGTCTAAAGGTGGTAAGATGTCTTTCTAACGCTTTCAAAGTGGTTGATCTGAATGAAAATAAAGTACAGAAATAGGGCACCTTCTCTGGTGGAGCATGTGTGTTATGATTACGTGTCGAATGGCTAGATTCTTGGCACCTTCAAATTTACAATTATCCCAATTGCAAATATAATCGGACATCATAAACTGTAAATATATATTATACAAGTCTAAATTGAAAACAACGTTCAAACCTATGATTGCGTTGGATAAAAACCGCAATTTTTATACGTGTGCATGTAAAACAAATTTCTTGGTAGAGGGGTCTAAATACAGCACAAACAACATTTTCCAAAAGACCAAAAGAGTGAAAAAGTATATTTTAACAAAACGCATTTGACTAACAGGTCGAACAACGGATGTTCTTAAACCCTGCTGACTGCCATTGGCGATTGCCAAATAAATTGATCACCAGATTTAACAAAATGGATCTTAATATTAATTTAATACCAAACAGAAAACAATTAACTTGCGGAAAGATGGTATTCCACAAACTTGAGGTGCAAAAATTTGTACACCATATCCGGATTTCGACAATTAATGTCTCTTCAGTGATGTTAGGGATCGAAACGGTATTTGGAAGGCCATATAATTTACCTCAATTTAGGATAGACTCTTGAATTTTAAAGAGTCGAAATAGGATGAACGGATCATATAAACCCTAAGGAAAATATAATACAAGCCCAAACGAAAAAATATAAACAAGTCTAAATTGAAAACAACGTTCAAACCTATGATTGCGTTGGATAAAAACCGCATTTTTTATACGTGTGCATGTAAAACAAATTTCTTGGTAGAGGGGTCTAAATACAGCACAAACAACATTTTCCAAAAGACCAAAAGAGTGAAAAAGTATATTTTAACAAAACGCATTTGACTAACAGGTCGAACAACTGATGTTCTTAAACCCTGCTGACTGCCATTGGCGATTGCCAAATAAATTGATCACCAGATTTAACAAAATGGATCTTAATATTAATTTAATACCAAACAGAAAACAATTAACTTGCGGAAAGATGGTATTCCACAAACTTGAGGTGCAAATATTTGTACACCATATCCGGATTTCGACAATTAATGTCTCTTCAGTGATGTTAGGGATCGAAACGGTATTTGGAAGGCCATATAATTTACCTCAATTTAGGATAGACTCTCGAATTTTAAAGAGTCGAAATAGGTTGAACGGATCATATAAACCATAAGGAAAATATAATACAAGCCCAAACGAAAAAATATAAACAAGTCTAAATTGAAAACAACGTTCAAACCTATGATTGCGTTGCAAAAAAACCGCAATTTTTATACGTGTGCATGTAAAACAAATTTCTTGGTAGAGGGGTCTAAATACAGCACAAACAACATTTTCCAAAATACCAAAAGAGTGAAAAAGTATATTTTAACAAAACGCATTTGACTAACAGGTCGAACAACGGATGTTCTTAAAACCTGCTATATATATCTATGAAATTAGTTGTGTTATCACTTCACTGACAACACAAGGTGACTGGACATTCCCCAAGATTCATAATTAGTCTACAGGTTCTTCTTGATATTCACAATCCAAGCTGGAACGTCTTCAGAAAAATAAGGTTTCAACTTACAATGGTGTATTTTACACGACCTCTGATTTTATATAAAACAGAACTCACAATTTCTGTTATGACAAATGTACCTAACCATTTATCTGTTTATTTCTTACAAAATTGATTAAATCTATATACTAGGGACCCTTTGCTATATTGATTTTGAGAAACTCTTGTATCATAGTCTTTTTTTTGTCTTTGAGCACTGGCTCTTAAGATTCTCACGTGCAAGATGATATATCTCTTCAAGCTGTGATTGCAACTTTTCAACATAATGATTATTTGTATACATACTGTAAGGTACTAGGGAATGTTATATTGAAACATTTAGGTATTAAATTGTGCGGTGTAATTTATAAGTAAATACTTAATTTGTGGCAAGATTGACAATATTTTATAATATTTTTTACAATTGTGGCAGTAATCCACTATACTTATTACTATGATCACAAGTCAAAATTAAAGTGTTTACCAAATATTATCTTTTAAACTTAACGGTTGTGTTCTTACGCATAGTAACTTGGCTCGCAGCGAGCAAGTGAAACATTTTACATTTGTAATCAAAGATATGGCATTAATTTACTATTTTTATGGATTTCACAGGCCAAAGTTTCACTTTTTGCCAATAAATTACAGGCGGAGGCATTTCATTAGCCAAAACATAGTTTTACAAGTTAGGTGTGTACATATGTTGGTACTAGGGTGATATATATCCAGTAAAGCAACTGATTTTATGTGAAAGCTCTGGAATTTGAAATGAGTTTATCATTGTTTACATTTTTTTTGTGTAAAGTGTTACGACAGGGAATGTATGTAATTACTCACGGGTTACCTTCTTCATGGTATATATCATGTAATTCCCGTATTAAGGATCATTAAAGTTAAAGGGAAATACTTTAACTGTAATTGTTTACTGACTGGCGATTTTGCCGTCTGCCATTCTGTGGGGAATGAAACGTTGATTTTATCTCTCTTAATACCAATTCGTCCCCTGGACAATTGATCTAATATTGTTTTTTTAATACCACCCATTTAATATTTTATAGTTATACCCTGCCGGACACAAATATATTGTAAATATTTAGACGGTTGTGATGAACTATGTTTTATGTTATTTACTTCTATGTACTTGCGAATATCGTCTGCTAAATTTATGCGCACGCAGTGGTGTCCGATTGCATATTTTAAGTTATTTTAATCATATTACGAGCTCTATTGTTTAGTTTTAATCTTTTATGTTAAAGGACAATCTTAGGACAACTCAAGATGATTTCAATTCTATGTTTTTCAATATCGTAATTTTGTATAGTTCCGGCTTCCCGGAAAGGACAAGTAACTTTTCGATTAGTATGTCACGTGACACTAATGACTTTTGTATATAAACGCGTTAGCATTCAGTAATGGCAGATAGCCCAAAGTTCTGCTGGCGGCAAGTTCAAAAAGTTAACTATCATTAAAATTGTAAACAAAGCAGTAAAATAAGCTTAAGGTGAGCATAAGAATAAATATGGAACATTATTAACCGTCTTTTTGTACAGTAAGCTATCTCCCACCACGTCGGACACCACAAATATGAATTTAGATCGTAATTTAGTTCCTATGCACTATGATATATTGTACTGTACGCAAGTATTAGAATTGTCATAATTCGTTATTTATTCAAATATATTTAAACAGTTCCACAAATAAAACTGTTAACATTGAAATGATATTCTATCTTTATCAATCTTGGATACATATAAAAAGGAATATGCATTTACACTGGTAAAACAACTTGAGCAGGAGGACGCTCGTTCGAAATTAAAAACTATGGAAAGCCGTTAGCAACACAAATAGCACAGTAACAAATAAATACAAAGGAAGCCGTTTAATACATATACATTAACCAAACAGAGGAACTATATTTAAACACAAACTGAGGTGCTCCGGGGAGCAGATACTGCATTTTATGAGTGTTCGTATGTAAACTGCCCAGTATAGGACAGGATACTCTTGGGTCAGAAGTGGGATGCTAAAATTCTAATTAGCATCCAGGATACGAACCTTGGAATAATCTGTCAACTTAACAATGTGGTTTAAGCCCGACGTGGTGGATTTACTGTACAAAAATTAATTATAACTATAAAATATGAAACAACATATAAAAGTAAAACTCTTTATTTAAGAATATTGCTGATGCTAGTAGGAACTTCCCAGACCCTGAAATAAATTTCCGTAGGGAAAGGGATTTTGATGACTTAGGACAAGGGGTTCAAATACATACTGATGACAATGACGACTCTGATAGGGAATCTATTTTACAAGGTCATGGTGATGAAGTAGCTCAGAGACCTAAAGGACGGGATGAATATCAGATACATGATTTAGACGATAGGAATGATAGGGGTAATCATAACATGCAACCAATTGGCCCACCAAAGGTAACACTTAAACCTGAACCCTTCTCTGGTAAGGATTGTTGGGAGGAATACTTGTCGCATTTTGAGGACTGCGCTGAATTGGGACACTGGGGGAATCGTACAAAACTGTTGTTTTTGGCAGCTAGCTCGAGGGGTCAAGCAAGGACATACTACATGAGCTTGTCTCCTGGCGACAGGCGCACATAACAAATGCTAACACAAAAGTTAGATCAAAGGTTTAAGAGTTCAAAACACAAAAATCGTTGGCTCTCAAAATTAGAGATGCGCAGGCGCATGCCAGGGGAAAGCATAGCTGAAGTGGGGGATGACATAAGGCAACTAGCTCAAAAGGCGTACTATGATCTCGACTTAGCAGCGCAGGAGTCTCTAGCATTAAACCAGTTGTTTAAGGTAATACCTGTAGAAATGAATTGTCGCTGTAATGACAAGGAATGTCAAACAATAGCAGACGCTGTTGATGTTATAGAAAGGTATGAGTCAATACTCGGGGATGGAGACAAAAAGAAATCAACAATCAGAGCTGTAGAGTCGAAGGACATCGAAGGACACATGAGTGAAAAGGATTATCAGAGCAATTTGCAGGCTTTACAAGATAGGATATCAAAGCTGGAACAAGGACACCGGAATCAGGACACAAAGAGAGCAAATACTGGCAGATGTTACAGTTGCAACTCACCAGACCATTTTATGAGGAACTGTCACACACAAAAACAACCAAAGAGCAAGCGGGAACTTCCAGGGCAACCAAAGACTACCTCTTTTTATAACAGCCAGGGAAACGACAGAACGCTGGCTCAATAGGTCGTGAGTTAGTGACAGAAGATAAAAGGCCTGATATAAAGGGAGAAAAACATGTCCGGACAGGACACATAGGGGAAACAGATGATAATTGGGATAATGGGTTTTATAGAAATGGGTTAATCTATGGGTTTCCTGTCAACTGTTTTATTGACAGTGGCTCAACAGCGTCAATATTATCTATTGAGGTTTACGAAAAATTGCCTTCAAATGTTTGGTGTTCTTTAGTACCAAACAAGTCCGAAATATTTGACGTTAATGGCAACAAAGTTTTTGCCATTGGATCAATCACATTAGAACTAAAGCTTGGTCTAGAAATTTTCAGTCAAAATTTTATGATATGTAATATTAATCAGGATGGAATACTTGGACAGGATTTCTTACTTAAGGAAGTAAGTAAAGTTAATTATCAGCGAATGGTCTTACACACGATCCACAACCAGGAAATACAATGTTGGATTGGAGGGAAGGCAAATATGATATGCAGAGTAGAAATTAAAGACAACATGACAATTCCTCCAATGACGAGTACAAAGATGCCTGTAGAAATACCGGGAGTCAACCATTTAACAGAATACGGATTAATAGAGGGCACGACAGGAACAGCAAAGTCTACATTAACAATACCTGGGATTATAAATACACAAGATAAAGCACACTTTGTAAATGTTGTTAACTATGGTGACAACGAAGTAAAACTGTATAAAAAGGAAACAATAGGAAGATGTGAATCATATACTGAGCATGATTTGAAATCAGAGCAGATTAGAACACTACAAAAAGATTGCTTTACAGCTAGTGAAGAAATACCAGAACATCTTATTGACTTATTAAAACGGAGTTCAACTTATTATATTCCACGCAACGAGTTGCGGAGGGTATAATGTTTCCGTCCGTCCGTCCGTCTGTCCGTCCGTCAGTCCGTCAGTCCTGTTTCTTGTCATCGCAACTCCTCTCAAACCACACAACAGAATTTCACGAAACCTTTTTAGATAATATGGACATACTATATAGTTGTGCATATCGACAGGAAATTACGATTCAATTCTTTTTCTAGGAGTTACGCCCCTTTGAACTTATTTACTTTAATGTACTACTGCAACAGTTTGTCGTCGCAACTCCTCTTAAAACACAAAAGAATTTCATGAAATCTGTTCAGATAATAAGGACATACTACGTAGATGTGCATATCGACAGGAAATTACGATTCAATTTTTTTTCCAGGAGTTACGCCCCTTTGAACTTATTTGCCCAATATACTACTGCAACCTTTTGTCATCGCAACTCCTCTCAAACCGCACAACAAAATTTCATGAAACCTTTTCAGATAATAAGGACTTACTACGTAGATGTGCATATCGACAGGAAATTACGATTCTATTTTTTTTTCTAGGAGTTACGCCCATTTGAACTTATTTGCCCAATATACTACTGCAAACTTTTGTCATCGCAACTCCTCTCAAACCACACAACAGAATTTCATGAAACTGTGTAGATAATAAGGACATACTATGTAGATGTGCATATTGACAGGAAATTATGATTCAATTTTTTTTTCTGATACAATTTTTTTTTCTTACACTTATTTTATTTCTCCAATGACAATGTGGGGACGTGGGGTATGTGAGCGCGCTCACTAAGGTTCTTTCATTTAAATGAGGACCAAAGACAACAGCTTTCCAGACTCCTTGCGCAGTACCAAAATGTCTTTTCAGACATATGATGACATAGGGAGGACAGACCTTGTAACACATAGAATAAATACAGGAAATGCAATACCCTTTAGGCAAAGATCCCGACGACAAGGAAAAGACTGCATTTCTTACAGGTTTAGGGTTATATCAATTCACTGCCATGCCCTTTGGACTTGCAAATTCACCATCTACTTTTGAGCGTCTCATGGAAAATGTTCTCAGAGGGCTTCAGTGGAAAGAACTATTACTCTATATGGACGATATCTTATCAGTAAGTTCAACACTTGAAGAGGATCTTGGAAGGTTAGAAAGAATCTTTATACGCCTATAAAATGCACATCTAAAATTGAAACCTGCCAAATGCATTTCCTTTCAAAAACAAGTAAGGTTCCTTGGACATATCGTGAGGGAATTTCACTGATCTAGAGAAAACAAAAGCTATAGATGACTGGCCAATTCCCATATCTGCAAAACAGATGCGCAGTTTTTGAGGACTTTGTTCTTACTATAGGCGATTTGTTAAGGGATTTGCAGCAATTGCAAGACCAATGCACGAAATTTGCGAAAAGAATAGCCGTTTTGCTTGGAATGACGAGTGTCAAAAGGCATTTGAACAGTTGAAAAATGCTTTAACAAGTACACCTGTGCTTGCCTACCCTCTTCCAAATTTGCCATTCATACTTGACACAGATGCAAGTGATAAGGCTGTCGGAGCAGTTTTGTCACAAATTCAAGATGGTCTTGAACGAGTTATAGCATACATGAGCAAATCTATGAACATACATGAGCAGACATACTGTGTAACTCGAAAAGAGCTACTTGCTGTAATTATAGCACTAAAGACATTTCATCATTATTTATATGGCCAGAAAGTTTTGCTGTGCACAGATAACGCAGCTGTATCATGGATGAAAACTAAAGAAACCCACTGGTCAAACAGTTAGATGGCTCGAAGAACTGGGAACGTATAATTTGACAGTTACACACAGGGCTGGAAGGAAACACTCAAATGCCGATGCTCTGTCAAGAAGACCTTGTTAATCATGCGAGAGGCAAGAATCTGGAAACCACACAAGCGACGATGAAACAGACGAAATCCAACTTGAAGAAACTGATTTTGTTAACCAGGAGCTACCTGAAAATGAGGAGCCAACACCAAGAATAGATATAGTACGAGTATGTACAAGAAGTCAGACAGAAAATCAGTCTGGTGCTACACCAAGTGGCTATTGCATAGAAGGATGGGACCCTGGCAGTATTAGACAATGCCAATTGGAAGACCCAGATATGTCACTCATTGTGACATATCTTCAGGAAAAGAAAAATAAACCTGACTGGGACCAAGTATCAAAAGGAACATCATTCCAGAAAAAAATTTGGCGACAATGGGATAGGCTGACAATAAACAATGGCATGCTTTATAGAAAATTTTATTGTTCTGATAAAGATGATGTAGACAACTTCAAATTACAGCTCCTGGTACCAAAATCACACCAAAAGACAGTCTTTAAGTATTTCCATGACGTTCCATCTGCAGGTCATTTAGGACCAGATAAAATAACAAAACCGTTATGTTCTTGTCCTTTGTGACTGATTTTCTAAATGGACTGAAGCATATGCTATTCCGGACCAGGAATCCCTGACTATTGCCCGTACCATCGTGAATGAGTTTACTTGTAGGTTTGGTTCACAATTACAGCTCCACTCTGATCAAGGAAGGTCTTTTGAAGCAAAGCTGTTCCAAGATCTGTGTGATCTCCTGAAAATTGACAAAACTAGAAGTACAAGTCAACACCCCCAATCTAATGGAAGCGTGGAAAGATTTAACAGAACACTGCTAAGCATGCTAACATTTTATTGTCAAAATGATCAGAGAAACTGGGATGAGATTTTGCCACATGTTATGATTGCATACAGATCATCCGTTCACGCCAGCACAGGACAGACCCCTAATATGATGATGTTTGGCAGAAACATATTTCTTCCTATGGAAGCTGTTATTCCACGTCCTGATGGACCAGATGAATCCACTACCCCTGAAACGGATAAATATATAAATGAATTACAGGACGCTATGTCAAAGTCACATGTACTGGCTAGGAAACATCTTAAGGAGAATTCTGAGTATAAAAAACGTCACTATGACTTGAAAGCAGTAAAGCGCGAATTACAAATAGGTCAAGCTGTATGGCTTTATGATGCATCAAAGAGAAAAGGAATTTGTCATAAGTTGACATCGAAATGGAAAGGGCCATATGTTGTCACAAGGATAATTGATGACATCACTTACCTTGTGAAAAGGTCAAAGAAACAGCCAGGAAAGGTCTACCACATCGATAGACTACTGCCCTATTAAGGACAAAATCCGCCAACTTGGTTCTCCAGTAGGAAGTCCTGAGATGCCTTTCATAGTTGTTGTTTGAATAGCCGAAATTAGTTATACAAGTTGTTACGTGTTTAATTGTTTTGATGAGTTACTATGTTTAAGAGTAACTGTATGACTTATCTCAGACTGGAGAAAGTCATGTTGGAATTCCTAGAGTTGGATCCACAAATGGCCATTGTTTCTCAGGACATATTATTGGCTGTAAGGGAAGGATGATCCTTCCTGCCAGGGGAATGGCAGGTTGAACTGTACTGCCAAGCGTTTTATTGTATGCGCGGCGGAAAGCAATTAACGACAACTTTTTGTCTTGAGGAGGCTTGATATTTGTTTTGGAATAGGGAGACCAAGGGGGTGGATATCATATTTTTATTGAAATGAAGGCTGATCCATTTATTACCAGCATATGCCATATGGGGGAGGATTTTAAACACATAAGCAAATATAGTCACACAACAGCACACTACATACATATCTTTTATTGTATATGCTATATAAATGGTAGAGGGATTTTAAAGATTTGATTCGATTTTTCAGAATGAGACCATCATCACAAGTGCAGGTGAAATGTTGGCTGTGTCCCATGACGTTTAGGAAAAGGAGACAACTAAAGAACCATCTGACAGCTGCCCCACACAAACGGCTTTCAGTCGTTTGTTTTTGGTGTCCTGAGGAGAAGTCGTACAGGAGGATGGTTGACCTGAAGGAGCACATCATGGCCAACCACCGCAGCAAAATAGAGCTCATGCCATACAGTTTCTTGAGTGAGAACAAAGGTAATTTCACCATCAAATGAAAACTCCCAAGAGGCCATGAAAGAAAGTCAGGATTGACGTCCTAGAATTCGTAAACAGGGTTGGAAACACCAACAGGAAAAAGGTGGATTGGACTCTAGGGTGGAAGTGTCCTAGGGAAATGATTAGAGGTACGCAGGAGGAAGAGGTTGAGCAGGAGAAAACCAATGGGTCATATTCACCAACACGCCCCACCATCTATGAAGGGCTGGCCCTCCAGCAACTTACATTAGGACTTGGGGACTTCACAAACATCTTCAAATTAGACCTTGGAGTGTCTATACGATTCTATCAAATAAGTTTAAATGACTTGGTTCTAAGAGATCACAAAATGCTTGATGCTTTAATAAGGAGGATGACGGCACTGGTAAACATCAAGTATGCAGGATCACATACCTTCTCTGCCTCTATAGACGGTAAATTAAAGTCTATAGTGACGCCAGTAGTAGCTAGGAAACTATCCATCTCCGAGGAATATATAGCAGACATAAAAACGTCAGATGAACTCTTCCAAGGGAAACAGACAAAAGCCATCACAAATCCGTTATCACCACTTAAAACACCATCAACCTCAGATATTATATTGGAAGATGACAGCGACAATGAGGAACCAGAGATTCTGAACGAGAAAAAAACAAGCCAGAAGTAAGTAAGACAGAGAACGAAGGAGAGAAAAATGGAGAGAAAAGAAAGAAAAAGAATAACCACCATGAACAGAAGGCTAAGAAAATAAAGCAAGGAAAAGATGACAATAAACAGGATCAGGAAATCAGACTGAAGGAGGAAGAACAAAAGAGAAAGGAAGAACAGAAACAGGATGAGGAAATTAGACTGACGGAGGAAGAACAAAGGAAGCAGGAAAAACAGAAACAGGACGAGGAAATCAGACTAAAGGAGGAAGAACAAAAGAGAAAGGAAAAACAGAAACAGGACGAGGAAATCAGACTAAAGGAGGAAGAACAAAACAGAAAGGAAAAACAGAAACAGGATGAGGAAATTAGACTGAAGGAGGAAGAACAAAAGAGAAGGGAAAAACAGAAACAGGATGAGGAAATAAGACTGAAGGAGGAGGAACAAAAGAGAAGGGAAAAACAAAAACATGATGAGGAAATTAGACTGAAGGAGGAAGAACAAAAGAGAAGGGAAAAACAGAAACAGGTTCAGGAAATTAGACTGAAGGAGGAAGAACAAAGGAAGCAGGAAAAACAGAAACAGGACGAAGAAGAAAGGTTGAAGGAGGAAAAGAGGATACAAGAAGAAGAAAGGCACAATGCAGATAGTAAAAGAAAGGAACTGGAAGCATCAAAAGATTGGGCACAGATTGTACAACTCTAAACGGCAACATTACCGCAAGTGAACGGGCAAGGACACTTCTGAGGAAAGGTGGCATGCCACTTTTCCCAGCTGGAAGAAGGGAGTGGAACCAAGAAGAAGTCATCCCACTGATTGCCATCCCAGCAGTTGTTAGTTGGCCACCTAAAAATTGAAAAAAGATGACTCCAGAGCAAAAGTATTTTAATTGGGAGTATGCCAGTATTGCTCTGGAGTTGAACTTTGGAAAGCAATTACAATTCTCAAAGGAAGAGTTGCTACTCAAGTACCACTGTTTATCATTACCAGGCACAAAAACACCGACAGGAAGTGAAGAAACACTATGGCAACCAAATCTCGGTTTTATTTATATCAAGCTTTGGCTTACGTAATAAAGAGTGACAAAGAAGACGCATCAACTGTACAAATATTAAAGATGTTAGAAACTGCAGTGAAGGAGAGAGATAACTCCACAGACGATGTGATAAAGAGAATAGATGCTCTTGATATTCCCTTGAGACTTGGAGAAAACAATTGAACACTAACATTTTAGATCTCAAACTTCATTATAATTATGTGCTAAAATTTTCAATTCAGGAGAGTTCATTGTCTTTAAAGGTGGGGGAAGTGTAAGGTACTGGGGAATGTTATATTGAAACAAATAGGTATTAAATTGTGCGGTGTAATTTATAAGTAAATACTTAATTTGTGGCAAGATTGACAAATATTTTATAATGATTTTTTACAATTGTGGCAGTAATCCACTATACTTATTACTATGATCACAAGTCAAAATTCAAGTTTTTACCAAATATTATCTATTAAACTTAACGGTTGTGTTCTTACGCACAGCAACTTGGCTCGCAGCGAGCAAGTGAAACATTTTACATTTGTAATCAAAGATATGGCATTAATTTACTATTTTTATGGATTTTACAGGCCAAAGATTTACTTTTTGCCAATAAATTACAGGGGGAGGCATTTCATTAGCCAAAACATAGTTTTACAAGTTAGGTGTGTACATATATTGGTACTAGGGTGATATATATCCAGTAAAGCAACTGACTTTATGTGAAAGCTCTGGAATTTGAAATGAGTTTATCATTGTTTTAATTTTTTTGTAACAGGGAATGTATGTAATTACTCATGGGTTACCTTCTTCATGCTATATATCATGTAATTCCCGTATTAAGGATCATTTCTGGTAACCAAATATTCATATTTAAACGTCTGATATGCCTGGTATACATAGGGAAATACTTTAACTACAATTGTTTACTGACCGGCGATTTTGCCGTCTGCCATTTTGTGGGGAATGAAACGTTGATTTTATCTCTCTTAATACCAATTCGTCCCCTGGACAATTGATCTAATATTGTATTTTTAATACCACACATTTAATATTTTATGGTTATACCTTGCCGGACACAAATTTATTGTAAATATTTAGATGGTTGTGATGAACTATGTTTTATGTTATTTACTTCTATGTACTTGCGAATATCGTCTGCTAAATTTATGCGCACGCAGTGGTGTCCGATTGCATATTTCAAGTTATTGTATTGATATTATGAGCTCTATTGTTTAGTTTTAATCTTTTATGTTAAAGGACAATCTTAGAACAACTCAAGATGATTTCAATTCTATGTTTTTCAATATCGTAATTTTGTAAAGTTCCGGCTTCCCGGAAAGGATAAGTAACTATTGGATTAGTATGTCACGTGATACTTATGACTTTTGTATATAAACGCGTTAGCATTCAGTAATGGCAGAAAGCCCAAAGTTCTGCTGGCGGCAAGTTCAAAAAGTTTACTCTCATTAAAATTGTGAACAAAGCAGTAAAATAAGCTTAAGGTGAGCATAAGGATAAATATGGAACATTAGTAGCCGTCTTTTTGTACAGTAAGCTATCTCCCACCAGTCGGACACCACAAATATGAATTTAGATCGTAATTGAGTTCCTATGCACTATGATATATTGTACTGTACGCAAGTATTAGAATTGTCATAATTCGTTATTTATTCAAATATAATTAAATAGTTCCACAAATAAAACTGTTAACATTGAAATGATATTCTATCTTTATCAATCTTGGATACATATAAAAAGGAATATGCATTAACACTGGTAAAACAACTTGAGCTGGAGGAAGCTCGTTCGAAATTAAAAACTATGGAAAGTCGTTAGCAACACAAATAGCACAGTAGCAAATAAATACAAAGGAAGCCGTTTAATACACATACATTAACCAAACAGAGGAACTATATTTAAACACAAACTGAGGTGCTCCGGGGAGCAGATACTGCATTTTATGAGTGTTCGTATGTAAACTGCCCAGTATAGGACAGGATACTCTCGGGTGGCTTACAATACTATGTTCAGGGAATGGGAAAATTATATGAAAAGGAAGTATAACTTCTCTGCCTAACATCATCATATTTGGAGTAAATCCAGTAGCTGGGTGTATCATACTTCTGTAAGCTGACATCAATATACCAATGAAAACATCCCAGTCACTTACATTTATATTTACAAAATTCTGAATCATTTTTTCAAGTGTAGCATTAAATTTTTCAATGACACCATCAGAACAGGGTCAGTAAAAATTTGACCTTGTCTTTTTAATTTCAAATAATTTACAAATTTCCTGGAAAATTACGCTTTCAAAGTTTCTGCCTTGATCCGTATATATTTCAAGAGGTGTACCAAATCTGGATATGAACTCGTGAATTAATTTCTCAGCAACTTGTTCTGCTTGTTGATCTGGAAGTGAGAGCGCTTCCATCCAACGTGTAAAATGATCCCCAATTACTAAAATAAATCTGTTACCACGTTTTATCTTTGGTAAAGGACCAATTACATCTAAAGCAACCCGGTCCATAGGATAGCCAGCTAAGTATGTTTGCTAAGCTGCTTTCTGTCTTTCGCCTAAAGCTTTATTTCTGTTACAAACTGAACAACCTTTTATATGGATTTTGATGTCTTCATTCATCTTATACCAATGAAATTAGATTTAACCTTCTCAAGAGTTTTATTAACTCCAAAATGAGCTGCATATAAAGTATTATGACAACTACTAACAACTTCTTTTCTAAAAATCTTAGGTACTAGTAACTGATAAGAAATCCCATCATTTGGTAATAACCTTTTCTGATATAAAACTCCATTTTCTTTATGTAAAAGATTAAAATTGAACCAGTACTTCCTAACTGATGGACTTTTTGCCATTACTTCATCCCTTTTAGGTAACATATTATTATCACTCCACTGATGTATAAATTTCAAATCGTTACCCTCTCTTTGAAATGTTTCAATTTCTTTGGTTGTATAACCATCCAACCAATTTGATTGCATCAGTTTCTTATTTTGACTTCGAGTTACTACTCTAACACCTCAAGAAAATGTATTTTGACTAAGATTTACAACATTATCCACCGTACTATTAAATTCAGACCAATCATTTACAACAGATTGACAAGTACTGCAATCTTCTTTATATTGACCATCTTTCTGATGTGTACACAATGGATGTTCACCATCTTTACGAGATAAGGCATCAACGTTCTGATGTTTTACTCCTGGCCTGTGCTGTATTTCAAAATTAAACTGCGAAAGAAACTCCAACCATCGTGCAACTTGACCTTGTGGATTTTTAAATCCAAATAACCATTTAAGAGAGCCATGATCAGTGCGTAACAGAAATTTCTGACCAGACAAATAATGTCGATACTGATGTATGAAAGTAATTACAGCTAGAAGTTCCTGACGTGTTACGCTATACCTTTGTTGATGTTTATCAATTTTCTTGGAACCAAATGCAATAACAATCGCCTTTTCATTATGAACTTGGGACAATACAGCCCCAATTCCAACATTAGCAGCATCCGTATCCAGAATAAATGGGATATTTGGTAAAGGATATGACAATACTGGAGCTTTACACAAAGTATTTTTCAGATTTTCAAAAGCAGTCTGACATTCTGGATTCCATACAAAAGGAACATCTTTTCTAGCGAGTCTGCTTAATGGAGATGCAACCTCACTAAATTTTAAAATGAATTGTCTGTAGTAATTACAGAGGCCAATAAACTGCTGAACCTCCTTTATATTGCTTGGGGTCTTCCACTTCTTAACTGATTCTACAATTTTGGGATTAGGATGGACCCCATTCTTGGACACAACATGTCCTAAGTAAAGAACCTCATTTTTCAAAAAATCACATTTAGATGGTTTCAATTTTAACCCTGAGTTTTCTAATCTTGACAGAACTTCATCAAGTCGCTGAAAATGCTACTTCTCTTTGAACTATAGATTATAATGTCATCTAGATAAATGAGCAATGTTTTCCACTAAAGCCCTCGAAAAATCAACTCCATACACCTTTGAAATGTACCAGGAGCATTGCAAAGACCAAATGGCATTTTAATATACTTTGTTATAAAAGCAGTTTTATAACTGTCTTCTCGGCCATACGAAGTTGCCAATAACCTGACTGAAGATCACAGACTGAAAATAAACTTTCGTTTGCTAGACATGCAAGGCACATAAATATATTTGGAAGTGGGTACGCATCCTGTATACTAAACTGGTTTAATTTCCGGTAATCAACACACCAGCGAACTGAGCCGTCTTTCTTCCTAACGAGAACCACCCCTGATGCCCAAGCTGATTTTGAAGGTCTGATTACACCTTGGTGAAGTTGGTCCTTCAAATATTTTTCTTCTTCCCCTTCAAAATTCTGTGGTGTGCGCCTTAACGGTTGCCTTATTGGAGCTGTCCCTGCTGTTTCAATTTTATGTTCAATTAATGAGCAAGTATCTAGATTAGTTTTATGTTTAGCAAATGCATTCTGATTTTAATAAAATTCTCAGCCAATTTAAGTTTATCTTTAGAATTACTCAATTTAACACAACTCTTTTCATATAAATCCTTCAAATAGACCGGTAACTTTGGAGTGTTGGCCTGAACTCCATTGTTATTAGTGTCTAAACTAGAAACCTTAAAACACTTTAAATCATCAGGA